GGGAAAGGGTTGCACCTCCATCCTCACCCACCCCAGCACATCCCCACAGAAAGTCCACCACCCCCTTCTCAAGAGACAAGGGTCTCCACATGCCAGTACTGATGCCAAGATCTTCTGAGGGACCTAACACACATTCTGCTCTCCCAAATCACTTCCTCTGGACAACCCTTCTTGTGCTGAAGAACAGTGCCAATACAAGGCAGAAGCAACCTCACCACCAGCCAACACTACTTGCTCTGTTCCCACAGTGGTCCCAGATCTTCTTCCATCACCAAAAGTCCAGCCAGAGGGATGGTCAAGGCAAGGACAACATGGGGCAGGCAAGAGCCAATCAATGCAACAACACTCCAAGATACAGGTCTCCCAGGCGACACATTTTGTCTTGCCTGCTTGCAGCTCTTAGAGACATCCAACAAAGGGAGCTAGGGACACATTTCAGGAGGTGGAGCAGGACCTGGGCATTTGAGGGGTCAATTCACCCCCTTTACCATCAGGATTTTACCTGAGATGCATCCCATGGTCTTCACACTCCTGGGGCCTGAAAGCAGTCATGCTTATATGCCCTGAGGATCCTTCTTCCCAGCAGCCCAACCCAGAACTAACCCAGACCCAGGTCCATCGATCTGAACCATCGCTCAGAGCTTGGACCCTCCTAACCCACCACCCACCCCGTTCTGTCTCCCCAGGAAATCTGCTTCGAGCAGCAATGCACGGTGCACCAGGTAAGATCAGAGGTGGATTGGGAGAAGGAAGAAAGGAAGAGAGGCAACAAGCCAGGCCAAGGGCCCTGGAGCAGGGACTGGGGAGAAAGCATCAAGTATTCTGCCAGCAGGGAGGAGAGGACAGCACAGGGGGCCAAAAGTGCAGATGAACAACAGAGTCTGGGAAAGAGCTGGATCTACCAACTGTTGGGCCTGGACTGGCTGCTCCTCACGTGGCAAAAACCTGGGCCCCAGGCCAGCACCTCCTTAAAAACCTGGACAGAAAGTCTCTGTCCTGCCAGCCTCAGCATATCTGGGGGCCCCGTCCCACTGCCTAGAGACTGCTGCTGCTGAGCCTGCAGGATGGAGAAACACAACAAAAATTGGGGGGGTTTGGCACTTGCTGGGGGAACAACACTGCCAGACACGACCATGAAATCAACAAGAAATGATGCAGGAAAGGCAGAAGTGCTCCAGGGCCACTGGTGTCCAGCATCTGGGAAGCAGGTCGTGTGAAAAAGACACAGCTCCTGCTCGTGCAAGGAAGAGAAAGTTACAGCAGAGCAGCAGCAGCTCAGCCGTGCTGCTGGCAGGATCTGATCCCTTGCCTTCAGGAGCTCGGAGGGAATTTGAGGTGCTGATTTCTAGCAGCCCTGGGGCAGGGCAGCAGCCCCAAGAGCTCGGGCTTCGTCAGAATCTGCAACGGGAAATTCAACAACCCTTGTAGTTACAACCACTCACACTGGGCAGAACTGTGGAAAAGCCACCACAAGAAGCCAGTGAAGAACAAGGGGACAGTGGTGTGACTGATGCCAGCCAGTGTGCAGATGGGTGATCAGAGGAGCCTGATGCTACTTTTGGTGGGACTGCCAGTACCTGGTGGCAATGGTAACTGTGCCGACACAGTTACAGAGCAGCACACACCATTAAAACCAACTGCACAAAATCCATAAAGCCATTCATGTACAGAGTAAAAACTGGTCAAGTGAAAGGTCTCAAAACATAATCATAAATGAGAACAAGTGTAATCATAAATGGCAAGTCCATGTACTCATACAGACGTCCAGCCAGTCTCCATTTGGTTCATGCTATTTAACCAATGCCTTCCCCAAACGAGATCAAAGGAAACACAAAGCCAGGAGACCTGAAGGTGAGAGGAACTCCTCAGCACAAATCACAGCAGCTGGTGGTTAAGAAACTGCCTCCGGGCTCTTGGAAAACTGAGCTACTGAGCAGAGTGTGAATTTTAGCACAACTGGGGCCAGGTCCAGCTCTGGGGACAGCCCCCCGAGCATGAGCTCCCTGGGCTCAGGGCCATTGCAGAGTGTTCCTCAGCTCCTGGTGCTCACCTGGGAAGGTGACTCGACCTGGTGTGGCCTGGCAGGTCGGACAGGACAGGTGTGACCCAGCTGTGACATCGTCAGAGCAAGCAGAGCTGGAAAGCGTTTGGAGGTCACCTCCTCACATCCCTCCCCAGGGCAGGCTCAGGGACACCCACATCACTCCAACTGCTTCACAAAAACCACCAGGGATGGAGCCTCTGCTCCTCCCCTCCAGAGATGGGACCTGGGTGCTCCTGCACCTCCAGGGTGAGATGGCAGCACAGCACTTGCTCCACCACAGTGATTGCTCTGAGCAGTCCCATGCCCTCTGCAGAGACCTGCAATGTTCTCTGAAGACTGTGGCCACATCTCCTGGTGCTCCTCCCTCCTCTGGACCCACAGTCCCAAATCCATCCCTCTCACATTGCAGAATGTGCTTCTGAGAGCACCAGCCTGCTTGCTCAGGGCATCTCCAGCTGTGCCAGAGCTGAAGAGAAGCCTCCTGACCAGCACATGGCAGGTGTCCTGATGGGGACAAGGCAGTGTCCTGAGAGGGGCATGGCAGCCCAGCCCAGGTCTGACCATGCGTGGCAGGGCTGCTGCTTGGGCTGTCTTCCCAAGGCCAGGACCTGGCTGCTCTGGTTCTGACCTGCAGAAGTTCATCCCTCCAGCAGCACCTCTGGGCCATGCACTTCTCACCCAGCGTGTGAGACCTGTTACTCCTCCTCACATAGAGAGAGTTTATTATTACACCAGCTCATCTAGGTAACTGATGGATTCTCTGTACTTGAGAATGTTGGACACCTTTCAAACAAATCTGCTCCAGACCAGGCTAAAGTTACAAGTTTGGCTCCAAGTTGCTGGGTGAAATTCTCTGGTTTCTGGGCACAATGATCCCTTCTGGCCTTGAACCTGGCTCAGCTCTGCAGTCTGAGCTGCCCATCCACACTGCACAAAAATCACTCTGCTGCCTCTCCCCTCTTTGATGTGCCTGTGACTCGATACACCTTGGTGCTACAAAAATACCTACTTCAACACTTCCAGGCTGCTGCATCTTCTACCAAGCCCCAAAAATGTGCTGTCTGCAGAGAAGAGTTCAGCTGCAGTTAGTTCAGCTACAAATCTGGTACTTGGCAAATTGAAACACAAGCAAAACTAGACCTGGAAAGAGGGAATCGAGCACTGGCAGCCCATTTTCTCAAGCCAGAAGGCACAAGAGTCCAAAATTGGGAGCAACTACACAGCCTGAGTAAACATCTAATAAAACAGGGGGAGGGAAAGGGGCCCTCAAGGCCAAACATTGGCAAGGAGGAGCTGAACCCAGGGCCTCAGTCAGACTTGCTGTTTGCTGCTGTGCTGGAGACTGAGAGGTAGGGAACAGAGCCCAGAGGAGTCCAGGTCTTAACCGTGTTCCTGTGCTGACTGCACCAGGGTTACAACCCTGAAGCCCAACTTGTTCTTCCTTGATGGCAGGTCTGGGGGTTCAGCCTGGCAGCACCCAGAGAACCTCGGTTTTCCTGGGGGGGAAGCCATTAGGGTTAGGGTTAGGGCAGGTGGGTCCCCCCAGCGCACGTGTCCCCTGCTCACGTGTCCCCAGCTCTGCACAGGGACCCCCGGCTCTGCCGAGACCCGTGATGCTCACCTCCCGCTGCCTCTGCTTCTCAGGGAAAAACTGGCAAGAAATGGCTCTTCCCCAGGGTTCTCCCCAAGCATGGAAGTCGTGCACAAGGGGAAGCAGCAGCAGCCAGGGACGGGAGGGAAGAGCCCGACCCGGTTCCTCTCCCCTCTGCTCCCGTCCCGCAGCCCCGGAACAGCCGTCGCAGCAGCAATATGCGGCGTAATGAAGCAGGGAGCAGCGATGGCCCCCGAAGGACTCATTTACTCCACAAATCTCCCTTCCACTCACTTTTTGCTAAGAATTTTAACACCAAACTTAATTGTAAAGTCGCGTATTGATTGGAAAATGCAAATGGCAATTTAAATGTAATCTAAGCTCCCAGCATGATCCCAGCTCCCCAGGAGGAGGAGCCGCCCGCCCTGGGCCCTGCTGGAGTGTGTGGCCCAAAGTGAGCAGGGCAGGGACCAGGGACCCCCGGGCTGCCTGAGCAGCCTCCCCAGAACAAACCTGGTACATGTGCAATTAGGAGTTTGATCCTAGCAACCAACAGCTGGGGAAGCTCAGTCTCCCGGCCTAATTAACCCACTTCTCAGAGACAAGCGTCCAGCTATGAAGAAGCTCTTCCAAGCTTGCAAGACCATCCAAACCTACGTATCATGGAACTGATATTGCAGCAAAGGGATCCCAAGTCCATGGAGCAGGGCAGCACCAGCAGAGGCACTGGCCACAGCCTGGAGGGAGAGGAGGTGCTGTCCTAGGCACGGAGAGGCCCCAGCATCCACAGTGTCACCTGTCCCACTGGGATTTCGGTCATTTCTAGGTGTGTGTAGGGCTTAAGTGAGACAGAGCAGGTTACCCAGAGGCATCGTTCTCAGTTGTCCTGGAGAAGGTAGTGACAAGTATCAGCCAGCCACCACACCACTGTGGCAGCTTATGTCCCTTCTTGGCCAAGCAAATTCTCCACCAATGTTACTACGTTCTGCAACACCCAACAAGTCCCCCCAAGCTGGTCAGCCTTCCCAGCCACCTGACTTGGCTCTGAGCAGACACCCAAAGCACCGAGTGCATCTGCTGCCATCAGCCCAGCAGCGCACGTGCTGAGGAATCCAAAGCAGCCAGAAACTGGTCAAGCACCCAGGCAGATCCTGCACAGTTGCCTCTACAGCCCTACAAATGACCCACTGCTTTGCTCTTTCATGGCTAGGCAGGAGCACCAGTCCATGTAAGAGTACAGAACTAGTTAAAGGCCCCGGTTCTTTGCATCTTTCACAGAGATGGCAAACAACAAGATCCCCACAGTTGGAAGGGGCAGGTCCCTACCAGACAGCAGAGCAACCACCATCTATCCTCATCTTTGTGAAACAGAGCTACACCTCCTGGGAGTCTCTGCTCCTTTCCACACTGGTGGTACAAAGTCACTGCTCCTCCTGGAGGGAAGGGCCAGAGCAGGGATGATGCTGCAGCACTCTGGTGTCACTCTGCATGTACTGTGCTGCACGTTTACACCAACCCTACCCCCCTGATCTGCACATGGACATTGCTTCATTTTCTCCTTTGGGAACAAAGCTCTGCCTTCCCGAGGTGCTGCAGCACAACATTTTAATTTGAGCAGCAGGAGGGCAGGAACCCCAGAGGGCCACAGCACCCACAGAGCCAGGCAGGGCTCCATGCACCAGGGCTCCAGGGCACACATCAGCCTGGTGCAGCACAGCCAGAGTGGCAGAGCCATCTGCACGGAGTGGTGCCCACCCTTCCAACCAGACACTGCTTCCCCAGCCTCAGTGTGTGTAACAAGACTGACAGGATCTCCTCCGCAAAACCTCCTCCTGCAGCTCTGCCTATGGAGGTGCAGTCCTGAGCCTGGGCACCAACCCAGACCTCACAGGGCAATGCTTTGCTCCGGGCTCTCCTCTGAACTGCCACTGTGCAAACTGGGCACCTCATACAGGTTCTGAACCAAGAAGACGGGCACCTCCTTCTAGCAGAGCACAGGGATGACCTGCACGCTTGGTTTTGCGGATCTAGGCCTGTGTCTGTCTCAGTTCTCCACCTGTTCAACAGCACCGCTCTGCCTACAGCAAGATCATCACCCAGGACACTGCACTCTCCAGCAGACTGGACAAGGCCAGGCCCCGTTAGCAACACAGAGAGACACAGCAGCAGGTAAGGAAAGCATCTCATCCTGCTGAGTGAGGGGAATCCCAGAAAAAGCAACCCGAAGTCCAGAAACCAAAGGCCATGGAATACTCCAAGGACCAGGCCTCCTGCAGCCAGCACCACGGCTCTGGGAGCCACATCAGCCCCAGCTCCAACCTCAGCTGCTGTCAGCCTCACCTTCCTCCCTGCAGACCCTCCTCACCACTGCCCCACCATGCTGGGCAGAGACCGGTGCTGCCCCTCAGACCAGCTGCCCAGCATGGGGGGCCTGGACTGTGCAGCTGCAGCGCCCGGGGCAGAGCTCAGGGCTCCCGGGGCAGGTTCTGCCCATCATCACCAGCACCAGTCCCCTCCAGAGGGCGAGCAGTGGCAGCCAGCCCTGCTGGGAGCAAGGGAGCCCTGTGGACAGGGGACAAGCACCCCGCAGCAACTGAAACAGTTAAAGGAGCCTTGGCCCCTGCTCCAGCAGGAGATTAAAGAAAGATCTGTGCTGCAGAGAAAAGGAGAGAGAAACGCCTGATCAGGCGTGCAGCTGACATGCTCCTTCCTGCTGGGGCTGCACAGACCTTGGGCACTCTGGAAGCAGAGCCCCTGGGTGTGAGACCCCCAGCACTGCCCAGCTCTGCTCCCCAGCCCCGCTGCCCCAGCCATGCCGAGCCAGCCCAGGATGGAGCTGCGGTGGAGAGAGACCAGCTGGGCCACGGGAAGGAAAATGGAAACACAACGGGGGGCACGGGGAGCAAGGCACAGCCTGGGGCTGCACAGCCTGGGGCTGCACAGCAGGGCACGCATGAGCCTGGCCAGCAGTGCAAGGGAGTCCTGGTGGAAACACCATCCAGCCAACCCACACATTTTGGCTCACTTGGACATTCCCCATCCCTGCAATCCAGCTGATGGACATGGGGGCTGGCAACACTCAGGCTCAGACCCAGGCAGCCTGAGCTTCCTGGGCAGCCAGGAGGCAGGAGCTGAGAGCTCTGCTTCCAGAGCAAGTGGCTGGTTCCCTCTGCCTCGCAACAGCTCACACTGGGAGCACTGTGCACGATGGTTTTTGCCATGGCCATGGTGAAGAAAGTGTCCCGGTCCCATAAGAGGGCAGCTGGGCCAGCACGGAGCAGGGGCAGGGAAAGGCGCAGGGAAAGGGGCAGAGGAGGGGAGCGCTGCAGCAGGGCTGGGGGGCAGGGTGCGAGGCACGGATGCCACCTGCTGGACCCGCTGCACCAGCCGGAGCAGCTCCAAGGCCCAGGAGAAGCGCGGGGCCGGTGCCAGGACCCGGGCACAGAGCAGGGGCCACGT